CCCCCCCCCCCCCCCCCCCACCACCACCACCACAAGCAATGTGCTGCTGAGCATTCCACCGCCTGCTTGCCCGCTCCCTCCGTTGACGCGCGTTGTGTGCTTTGTGTGCGCAGGGTCGTTCCCCTGGCGCTAGCGCTGCTGAACATCAGTCACCCTGACATGCCGGTGATCGACCAGCTGTCGAGGTTGACCCACGATGCCGACACCGACGTGGCGCAGTCCGCCATTATGGTAAGAGAAGCGGCGGCACTATATGATAGCGTGTGTGTGTCGTTATTGTTGTCGTTGTCGATGACGAGGACGTCCGCTGTACGATGCTCTTGCTGTTGCCTGTTTGTCCAGAGGTGCTCGTTCTCTTGGGGTTACAATGCCTGCGTGCCGACAGCAGCAACAGCTGGCGGCGATCAAACAACGATCAACCAATCAACCCACTAACCGATCAAGTCGTATTCTTTATCCGCGCGTGTCCCCCGCCACCGTTCGTTTGCGCGCGTGTGAACGTGCCAGGCGTTGGGGTTGGTCTCGGCGGGTACGAACAACTCTCGAGTGGCGCAGCTCCTGCGACAACTGAGTGAGTTCTACGCCCGTGAGGCGTCCCACCTCTTCGTCACGCGCATCGCGCAGGGGCTCAACCACATGGGCAAGGTGAGACCGCTGTCCCCCCCCCCCCCCCNCCCCCCCCCCCCCCCCCCCCCGTGCGCTGCTGCCGTTTCGTGTTTGTTACCGTCCATCATTTGCGGGGATGAAGAAATTGGTTCCATCATCGCGACGACGATGGTAGCAGCCGCGATAGCGTGTTTCTTGGTTCGTGCTCGCAAACGTATGTTTGTGGTTCGGCGTGTGGCGGTTGCGAGGCGACACTCGCTGGATTCGTTTGGTTGCCAAAAAGGATACGTTAGTTTCATGGCTTAGGATACGGTCGTTGTTGGGCGACAGCTCGCCCGTGCCGTGTGTCGCTCCCCCCCGTCCGCCCACCGCGGCCCCACTTCGCCACCCATCCCTGTCGCTTAGACAACATGCTTGTATTGGTGACGAATCCCCAGTTCACGCAGGACATGTGCCTATATAGCATCGATACCCCGAGTGCAACGATACCCACAACACAAAAGAACATTACAACCTCGGTCTTGGCCTTGTACTATCCCAAGTGCGCAACCTGTTGTGTTCTATTCCGTTCGTTCGTGCATCCCACCCGTCCATCTCACCCGTCCATCCCACCCGTTGTCTCGCCCGTCTATCCCAACTGTCCATAGGGGCTCATGTCGCTGCACCCCTTCCACTCGGACCGGGGGATCCTCAACCCGGCCGGCCTTGCCGGGGTGCTGACGGTGCTTCACCTGTGCATGGACCTCAAGAACACTCTCCTCGGCAAGTGCCATTACATGCTCTTCTACATCACGGCGGCGATGAACCCGCGCATGCTCATGACGGTAAGAGCTGGGAGGGAGCGGGCACGTGCCGTTGGTGTTTCCTTCTCTCGTGTGACGTGGCAGCAGTAGCTGCAGGTCGGGAACGGGCCGAGTTTTTGCGTTTTTTTACGTTTGTCAAGACCTTCGCCATGTGTATGCCGTTGCCTTTGCTCGTTGCCCAGCTTTCAAGCGCAGTGTCAATTCGGATGGAAAGTAAGCGGTGGGGGCAATCATGACCAGAAAAAAAAAAAGTTGAGGTGACAATCCTTTCTTGTTCTCACTCTGGCGGGTTGCTTATGAACGCTGTCATGGCTAGAAACAGATTGTGTTTTGGCTCGTGATGACCTCGGATTGGGCCTTTCCCCATCTCCTGTGAGTTGTTTTTTTTTTTTTTGTGGTGCCATCGGCGAAACCGGTCTTTTTTTCATTTTTTCCCCCAACTGCCTTCCCTTCCCTTTCGTTTCGTTTCGTTTTGTTGTTCAGGTGGACTCGGACTTGAAGCCGCTGCCGGTGAACGTGCGCGTGGGGCAAGCGGTGGAGACGGTGGGGCAGGCCGGGAAGCCCAAGACCATCACGGGGTTCCAGACCCACACCACACCCGTGCTGCTTGGCGTACGAGACCGCGCGGAGGTAAGTCAAAACATGGAATATTCCATGCGGGTTTCCGTGCAGCGATGCGCAGGAGGCGTTTGCCCTTTCCTACTGTTGTTTTGGTCGATTTTGTCAAGATGGACATGCCATGTTTCGCTACAAAAAAGATATGTGGTTGGCCGGCACGACTTTTGTTTTATGCACAAAACCAATCATTTTTTCCTTGGGCGGGTTCACGTTTTCTGCCGTGCCCCCCCCCCCTTCGTCTCGCCTTGTCCGTTTCTTATTGAACAGCGTCCAACACTATTACTCCGGAGTATGTTAATTTTTTGTGTGAGCATCGTACTTGTGTCCCCTCACTTGAGTGGCAAACGGGCGAGATTGGCGGGTAGTTTTTACAGGGGACCCGCAGCTGGATTACCGCTACCCAACCACCCCACCCCCAATCAACCCGGGTTGGGCACAGCAAACGTACAGATGATGGCTAGCTTCTGGTCCACTCTTCTGTGAAATGTAGCCTGGGGCGGCGACAACCCGGCAAACCGCTAGGTCCCGGCATTTGTAGAGATGTGGCGTCTATGATCGAATGAGTACGGCATGCGCTTTCTCGACTTTACACCCGACACGTCATTTGTATCGCAGTTGGCCACAAACGAGTGGATTCCCTCATCGAACGTGCTGGAGGGTGTGGTCATCCTCACAAGGAACCCAGAATTGGACGACCCTCCGGCAGCAGCAGCACCAGCAGCAGAAGGAGGAGTGGGGAAGGAGGAAAGCAAGGGCGCAACAGATTAAGGGGGGGGAGAGATAGATTATGGCTCTCGTCACCCCTCCCCTCTGAACGCTTCGCCGTCTCTTGCCAGGCGGAGGAGCTGGACACGGCTTTGTCGTTGCAGGGTACACATCATCTTGTAGTCGCATAGGTGTTGCGGGTGGTGGTGTCCTGCTTGGCCGAGACGGGCTCTGCGTTGGTCCCTCCGCCCTCCCAGCGCTGCGTGTCCTTCCACGGAGAAGTGGTGGGCGCGGGAAGGGGTTCTACCGCGATGATATGAAATCACTATTCTGGTCGTCTGAAACACGACGGTCGGCTATGTAGCTCGCATGATGTTTTTTGCTGTTGTGTGGGAAGCATTCGCTTACGCAGGGAAGAGGGAGGGGGGGCGAGGGCGCTTCGCGGAACGGTCGGCCGTGTCCTTGTAGGTACCCGGCAGATGATAGTAGCGTTGTAGCAGCGCTGGTTGTGGATTATGAAGTTACGCAGTCGCAGGTTCAATCGTGTTTGTTTTGTTGTGGTCGCTGGTCAACGAGCTGCTAGATTTTTCCATTGACGGCATCGTGGCGGTGGCTCCACATTGTGCGTAGCCGCACACACGCCCCTTTGCGGCAATCAAGACCCATGCCTTCCCAGTCGCACCTTCGCTCATCGCACGTGCGTGTTTTTATTTTTCGCACTTGTGTGTGTGTGTGTGTGTGTGTTGGCGTCTGTTGGCGGCGTCGACGGGCTGGGGAGGGGTGCGCTTGGGCACAGCAGTAATGTGCTCATGCCTGATGGTGCCGCCAGGGCATCGATGTGCCCAGGATGCGCGTGCCGTTTTGACGGTTGTGCCTGGCTTGTCGGCAACGGCGGGCGAGAGGATGGTGGTGGCGTCTCGCCAAGCGACACTCCTTCGATACACCCAAGTGTCAAGTCAGTAAAACGCGTACCTGCAGCCATGCAAAAATCCTTTCGCTGTAGTAAGCACAAGGGCGACCGAAAGCTATCGTCAGCGGGTGTGCCACCAACGCCTCTGTCCCGGCAACGCGGCGACGAGAGAAGAAAGCGTGGGAGGCGGGGCACCAATGCTGCCGTTGTTCGCCCCTGCTTGACTCGATCCTACATGAACGCCGGCACGACTAGCGTCATCACTCCACGACAAGAGAGGTTACCGGCGTTTTGAGGTCCGCGGTGGATTCGCCTCGACAGACACAGGACGACCGTGATGATATTTTCCACCCCCTAGTTGTGTACGTGCTCAAAAGGGCAAGAGGGGCGTAACTTAACATCGTCAAATTTCAATATTTTTTCCCCCTAGCATGTTTTGTTTCTTTTTTTTGTTTCGGATTTTCCTGCGCTTTCCGTCTCGGAGCTCCTCCGCTCCTCTCTTGACGCTGACAAGGCAACATTTCGTTCCGGAAATACGCTAATTTTTTTTTCTGTTTTCGAACAGTCGCGGCTTCGCCCGAGTCTCGTGTCCTTGCATTTTGGACGTCTTCATTCTTAAGCCACTTGTTTAAAGTAGAGGCGATATCGCCCTTGTCGATATCCCTGCTTCCGTCCTCATCGTTGTCGTTGTTATGGCTGTTGAGTTAACCGCGGTGACCGATACATCGGAAAACGTGCTGGATCTTCTTCGCCCACCTAGAGTTCACTTGCTTCTTCATCCACAGCCACCCCCGCTTTTTCCATGTTTGGGTCTTGCTTTTCGACCACGGCATGGTCCCCGGTAGTCCCTACCTGAGAAAACAACAAGGGGGCGGGAACAAAGAGGAGGGGGGGGGGACATGAATCTTTTTCGAACATTCACGGACTTTAGGGGAATATGCGTGAATGTCTGGGTGACCGAACGCCATCATCTGTCGACACACGAAAAAATGAAAAACACATTTCAGGACAACGACATGGGTTGGGGCTACAGTAGAGTCCCGCCATCGTCTTGGGGATTGCGCACGCGTTAATAGCGGAGGAGGAAAGGAGACGGCCGTGCAAAGTGAATCTATGCGGCAACGATTCTTCACCCGGTCATTCGCTTGGACGAATCACGCCAATACGCGTTGCTGGGAAAAATGGATCATCGAGGACGGAGGATGGCGGTGGGGTGCAGCACCCTTGAGAGAGCACGAGATGGAATTCTCTCTCACCTGCGTTTTTGAAATAAATAACGCAGCCCCACAGTGTTGATGTTTCACGTTGTAATCAATGCCGGTAGTTACATTAGCCGCGAAGCAAGTGAACGATTTGTGATTGCAGAAAAACTCTTAACTGTTGTAGAATTATTGATGCACCGCTGACCACCTCAGTATAATGATGTACTGGGAGCACAAAGCGAGCAATCCCTTCTACTGTAAACAAAACGCGATATCCCACGCGTGAGGTCCCTTTCGTTCCACGGCCATGGCAACGACGCCCAAGCTCCGATCATCACCATGCAATATGCACAACAAGTCTGACGTGCCTATCGGCGAGTAAACACACACCAATCATCGAAACGTTCACTACCACCGGTACTCGCACCGTGATGCCTGCCCCCCCCCCCCC